AGTAATGATCAGTGATGTTTAAAGCAGATTTTACAATAGCGGATCAAGTTGAAGTTTTATTAATTCAATACCATATCGTCTTTCACTTTCGCCTTTTTATTCGGGAAAGTTCCACGCAAGCCTTCTAAGAGAATAGATTTTTCTAGAAAATCAGTCATCCATCGACAGGAACAGTCAAAAGGAAAGAGCATTGGGATGTTTTCACATTATTTAACAAATTCCATTATAACAAGTGCGTTTTGTTGCGATAAAAACGATGTTATTCCAAAGTTAACAAACTTTAATTCAACTTAACTGACTACTTCGGATAGTGAACTGAGCTATTTCCGCCTGCTCATTCTTTAATTAATTGTTCAACCAAGTTTATACATTTAATAAACAGACATGGATGAGCAATCAAATTGTAGAAATTTACCCCTTTTTAATCTTCTTTCAGAAGAAACCAACCAGATCACCAAAACGATCTTTACTTTCATTCATCTCTTCATTTCGATTAGTTAATTATGTTTTTTATTCCTTATTTGATTGATTTTGATAATATAACTTCACGTGACGTAACCAAAAGAGTACGGATTTGTCTACAGAACAGCAAGGACCAGATGTTCCGGTAACTCTCCTCAAAATCCGGTCCTGAAAACATCTCGAAATAGCTATCTCGATCCGAGACGTACAAGAAAAAAAAGATCCTAGTATTGGTCAATGAATTTGACCAGGCTTTCCGATTTTCTACAAGACCCCACCGAAAGTAAAAGTCAAAGTCACTTGTACTCAGCTCTAAACTGCTTGATACGTGTACGATCTCCAATTATCAATGAATCTGAATGACAGCCATTTCTCCTTTCCTCGCCGCCCGCTACGAACGTTTTGCGGGTCTTCGTCTTGTAATAATAATATTAAAAAACACCGAAAAAAACGAACACGCGCTTCTAAAAAGCAGCAATTAACTTGATGTATGTGTGACAACATGTAAATTGTGTTTGTGCCTTTGTAAACGGTCTTTTTTAACATAAAGATAAACTGTGATAAAATTGGTGAGAATAAAGGCTCCAAAGATATATCTTACAGCCCGTTTTACGGAACTGGAGGCAGGGACCCTGGCAACATGCGAATTGTTTCTATTCGCCTTGTTAATTGTATACCTTGTCGTATCTTGCTTTTGCTTCAGTCGAGAGTCCCATTTCATGCGAGCTTCCAGCGATTTGAAGGGGATTTTGTCGGGGTCTTCCTCTTTTACTTTAGGTGGGGTTTTGAAGAAAATGAAGAATTTGATCAGATTCATTGATAATTGACTTAGGGCTGATGTGGTCGTTTTCTACCCACCCCCAGATCATTTCCAAGCAATAGGATGAGATAGCATCGAGCAAGCTACCTCTTCGAGCGGAGAGCAACGCACGCGAGCCAAGACAGAGCGCGTAAGTGGCAGGCTAGGGCCCCCCCGTTCCGGCCATCTCGCGTCTCTTTCTGGTGCTCACTCGCATGTCTCCTCCGCAGAAGCATGTTTGTGTCCTAGAGGCAAGAAAGGCGGGCGAGAGACGATGGAACGAACGTTCACAACACTATTACCATTTTTTTCTTTTTAATTATTGCTATTATTACTGAAAAACCAAGCGGGAGCCTCTGCGGAGGAGAGAGGCGAGGGGCACCAGAAAGAGAAACGCGAAATGACTGGGGTGCGGGCGCTCCGGTTTAGCGCTCTTTCATGGCTCGCATCACTCACCGCTCGAAAAGAATAGCTCGCTTGAGCCTACCCTTTGCCAAGGTGAAGCTGTACCCTCCGCCTTTTTCTTTTTTTCCCGTGGGGGAAGGGTACGGCCACGTACGCTAAGCTACCTTCTTTCTACGCCTCTATTCTGAGTTTTTACGCAAAACCCAATACCGATATCTGTCAGTGATCAAAACAATTTTATCTTCAATATCCTTTTGTCATGAATATGTATTTCGGGGCATTTCGGTTTTTCAAGTGACAAGTATGATCGATTGATAGCAATTCTTTTTGATCACTTCCGTCGCTTGTTTTGTGTCCGGGTTATCCAAAATTTTCAAAAAAGTCCTTCGTCTCGGGTATCCCAGAGCCGATGTACCCGGGTATACTTTGAAAGGGGTTTACTACCATGCCCAAATAGAAGAAAGGGTTTCGATGGTCGATAAGAAGAAAGTTGACTCACTGCTACTAATTCCACAGTCCCCTTTAGCTGTAGAGGACTTAAATATATCCTGTAGTCTCCGTTGGAACTGAACATCCATCTGGCTGTTCTCCAGCCAACTCCGTATGACGGTTACGTCACATGACGTTATAACACAAATCACATTTGACATAGTTGTAATATTCTACTCGACGCAATGCATGGTACTAGTGCCTTTTCGTAACAGCGTTGTTCATGGTTAAAAGAGAATTCTCAAACCAAAAATCCTGCTGAAAGCGTTGAAAAAAAGAAAGAACCTTACAACAACGAGAGAATAATGTTGTCAGAATGTCATGGAATGTGCAACTCTTTAGCGTGACATTCGTTTTGGAATGCGGTTTTTTGGTGAAAAAGGTCGTAAGTTTTTTTTTCACTCTTGATTGGTTTCTTTTTTTTTTCTTTTTTTTTCTACAGGCAATAAAAATATTTGAGTGATTGACTTTATCATTTATGAACGAATTACGGTAAGCAAGAACTGCAAGGACACACATCTTCATTGATCATTTGTTTTGTCAGTCTGTTTTGTTGACCTTTTCGTCATCTTCTGTGAAAAATTGAGTAAGATAGGGAGCTCCTGGGATTAAATCGCGTTATTCTAAAACAAGAGTAACAACCATCTACCCTATTCTCTTCAACTTTGTAATACCCTTCGTTGTGTATGTGAATCAAATTTTATGTCAATTTATTGGACTACGGCATCAAAGCGATCGACGACCGTTATCTTCGTTAAAGATCTAAGATTAATAACATGATATGAGGCGTGCTCGTATGATCGTTAAATATAATGAAAGGTTATTGAAGTACTTCAAGGCGCTCTTTGCTGACATTTTCAATCAGAAGAGAAAAAAGATGCATTATTTGCAAACTGAAGGATTGGCCGTGACCTCTTGCGTGACATCCGCTCAGCAATTTGCATTGAAGGTTTGGTCAAAATAGCCCGAACTCTTTTCAAACTGGATGCGCTAGTTTTTTATTCCACCTCAACCCAAAAGATTGAAAGTGGGTTATTTCAACGGGTTTTTATGTTGTCCTAAACTTGACAAAATTACATGAAGTTTACATTTTGTAAAAGACAAAGGGTTTTTTTTTTACCAATATCCAAAATAGCAAACCGAGAATTCAACGCGTTGTCGCGCACGGAGTTAGCGAAGTTGCAGAATTTTTCATTGTTTTTCCGGTGGGTGGGGGGCCGCCTCAGCGTAATTTGAACTTTTGGATTTTTCGGAAAAAGCAAAGCGCGATGGAACTTTTTATTTCCATTTTTGAAAATAGTTCACCAAAAGGGTCTTTTAGGTAGAATAAAATAAATTATGAAATTTTGCAACTGTNTTCATTGTTTTTCCGGTGGGTGGGGGGCCGCCTCAGCGTAATTTGAACTTTTGGATTTTTCGGAAAAAGCAAAGCGCGATGGAACTTTTTATTTCCATTTTTGAAAATAGTTCACCAAAAGGGTCTTTTAGGTAGAATAAAATAAATTATGAAATTTTGCAACTGTCGGAGGATTCTCGATATTTACAGTCAGGGCCTCTTGAATAGCACATAATCTTATCTCATTGACATTCCCCACACTTCATTCAAGAGACAACGACAAACGTCGGCTATGACATAATCGCTGTTTATGTTTTCCAATTCACACTAATGAGATCCCACTTCAAAAAAAAGATTAATTTCATCCCTCCTTTACTACTTTCGTCACACTTTAAGATTAAACCAACTTGTTTTAATCAATTGAATGCCTGTAAATTCTCACTGCAGCACATGGGAAGTGAGATGGTGGTCAATGTCATGATAAACATTCCGTGTAAATGTAAAGCCAGCCTTGCAGTGGTTTAACGGTGTATTAGAAGCAGGGTATTAAAGTGGTTGTGAATAAATGGAATAGCTTGATAAATTGACACTTCAATTTCTAATTGCTATTAAAAGTTGCATAATTCGTTTACGGTAAAGCTTTGTTTACAAGTCTGGGCCGGGTTCCTGAAAGGCCAATTAGCGCTAATCCAGGCCCTAAAACCTTTTTCCACTTTTTGTATTTACCTTCCAATGCATTGCTTAGAGAAACATTTTGTGTTATTATTTCTCTTTTTTTTTAAGTAAAGACACAACAGTATTTTGTAAGCTCGAGTTACATGTTCTTAGACAAGAAAACCTTGTTTAACATTTGGCTTAATCCTGGGTTAAACTTAAATAATTACTTAAATAATAATTACTAAACACACATTTACATATTTTAATATGTAGAATATGTAAATGTGTTGTTAGCAAAAGTTATAAGTAATTATTTTCCAAAGATTTTATTTTACTCTCTGTATCTTTGCAGATAATCTCCCTTTACAATGGTTGATTGTTCGAAGACGGTTTGGTATCTTACCTTCTAACATATGATACTGTATTAAAGGTTATTATCCCCACAATGGCTACATTCGCGTTGGAGCAACTGAACTTTTTCAAGTTCTCATCTGTCGTACTTGATGAATTTCCACTCGTCCTCCGCCATGTTTTTGTTCACTTGTGGGACAATCAAGTCGCTCCAACACCGGGCTTTCAAAAATGGGACGACTCACCTGTGGTTCGAAACATGTTTCTCTGTAAGGAGGGTGGAAAGACAAAATATGTTCTAACCAGTAAATCATATCATGAGTGGGACTGCACAGCGCTGTTTGAAGCCACTCTCTATGCTCAAAGTTTTGCCATGCCTGACGGGAGTGGAGTCTTGGCTACTTTAGACAAACTGTACGTGAAGCCGCGTCGTTTACCGAGTGGAACATTTCACCCTGTCATTTCAAGCCCTTCTGGAAACCAGACCGAGACGTTTGCGTTATCGTTGGACCAGCTCCGTCTGCTACGCAACACACTCTTTCACCAGACAAGCACCCAAAAGATTGACAAGACAACTTTTGATCATTACCTACAGCTGGCAAGAGATGTATTTTCTGCACTTGGACAAGACACAACAAGGATTGATGAGATCGGGAAGCTTAAAGAAGAAGACTTTCCTACTTCCAGGCTTCAAGAGTTAGAGGAAGAGTTAAAGAAAGAAAAGGATGCTGCCGTCAAGTTCAAGCAAATCAGTGATCACCTCGTCCAGATCGAGTCTCAAATTAAAACTGTTGGATCAGATGTAAAAACGGCAGCAACAGAGGTGCAGTTAAAAGTGGAAGAAGTCGCGTCCGACGTTAAAATGGCTGTAACGGAAGTACAGAATAAAGTGGAAGAAGTAGGGTCAGACGTAACAACTGCAGTAACAGATGTGGAAAAGAAAGTGGAAGAAGTCGCGTCAGATATGAAAACGACAGTAACAGATATGCAGAATAAAGTGGAAGAAGTGGGGTCAGACGTAACAACTGCAGTAACAAATGTGAAAAAGAAAGTGGAAGAAGTCGCGTCAGATATGAAAACGGCAGTAACAGATATGCAGAATAAAATGGAAGAAGTGGGGTCAGACGTAACAACTGCAGTAACAGATGTGGAAAAGAAAGTGGAAGAAGTCGCGTCAGATGTGATAACTACGGCAAGAGATGTGCGTACGAAAGTGGAAGAGGTCAGGTCAGATGTAGAAAAGGAAGCTACAGCTGTTAAAACTCAAGTGTAAAACGTCGGTTCAGATATTATGGCAAAAGTTGAACATGTAGGGTTGGAACTAGCTGACGTAAAACAAGCAGTGCAGGCGGGAATCACAAAAGGTAAGAGTAGCAATGCTTGTTTCTATCAGTATGCGAAAAAATAGCTGACTTGGATTCGTAATGATCCACATGATCTTCAGCTTCGTGAAGGAAACTACTTGGCTAGTTTTGCACGCATACATTCCCTTTCATATACATGTAAAAATAACTGCAGAAGTGGAAACGAATTGGTTGTGCTGTAGCACTCTACTACGCATGCTTCCAAACATAACATACTCAACAGTATCCAGAAAAAACAGAACAGGTTTGCACACTTAGGCCACTTAAGGCATGACTATCTTATTAAATATGCATATTTTGATAAAATGCTCTGTAGAACGGTTTGCTTCTATTAATAGGGAACTTAAGAACCACGACGACGACTTTGTCGACGACGACCGGAAGTGAGATACCGTGCACTGCGCAAGCGCGGTTAACAAATTTCGTCGTCGTGGTGTCGTCGACGACGCCAAACACAGTAGACTCACGTCGTCCTGCAATCCACAAGCTTCGGCAGGTATAACTCCCTGTTTTTAAGCGATTTTTCAAGGGCTTTGTATTTTTTCACCTCGTAAATCCAGGTATCCTTTCTTTTTTCTCCTAACAAGCGATGTTGATTGAAAATTTGACTGATGAATTGTGTTTACTTCGAAGACAACACTGAGCTGTGCAGGCCGAGCGAGCGAACCCGTAAGTGACAAATTTATTTGTACGTATTTAGGTCGGGCAAATCATATATCTTTAATATAGAGGAATGAAGTTCATATGGAAAACAGCCATCGCATCGGAATGTCTCTTTTTCCAAATCTAAACTCTGACAGACGCTCGGACTCGGTCATGTCATTCAGGTTGAAAGTTGAATAACCTTCGTACGGAAAGCAGAGATTTTTCCATTCGAAAAGGTCAGACAACACGAAAAATTCTTCATCGTCAATGAAAGTAGACGTACGGCTTATAAAATAAGATCTTGCATCGTCTTAAAAGACGCCTTTGCGAAAAAACTTTGTTGCGAACGAACATCACAGTCTACATGTTTGTTTACATTCAGTGTCGTCGTGTCATCTTTTTTCACGCCGAAACTGACGTTCTCGTACCAGTCCTTTCCCAGTCAACAGACGTCGTCGTCGTGAACTTCGTCGTGGTTCTTAAGTTCCCTAATGATTCTCAGTAAAATTACACTACAAATGTAGCTTAAGAAACGGTCCAGATAAGAACGATAGCAACAACGGCAACGAACATTTTGGAATGCAAAAAAGGTGCTAACTTTTCTATTGTCTGTACTTACTTCTGATTGGCTTAAACAGCAAAAGTTAACAAAACTTCATAAAGCAGTACATATATTCATCCTTACTTTCCAACCATCTTCCATATAACAAAATCTGGTCTCAGTTTGAATAACAAAGAAATTCTATGTGGGGAACATGTAAAATTGTAAACTTTTCTTGGCTATTGTTTTCAACTCTTGTGATTGGTCAAAATCTTTTAACACAAAAAAACACCCTTTCAAAGTGGAGTGTAAATGCATTTTATTGCGTAAACGGCCTTCATGTAGGTTTAGTTTATGCATTCTCTGTGTAAAAATGAGAACATTCCTATGTGGGGAAAGCACCGTTGCCGCATAACAAAAGAAATTGCTATACACCTTACCCGGATCATTACTTTTAATAGCCATAGCAATTTGAGGCATTTTAGAAGCTCAAATTTTCGTCGCATGACTGGTAATTGAGAATTAACGATCAAAATATTTACTCTTAAATGGGTAAAGGATAATAAAAGAGTAACAAGTTAATTTAGGTACATTTTAAAGGCCAATAAAATGGTTCTGAAAAATTCGCCTAGAAAAACATGTTTTGTGACGTCATTGACGAAGCAATGTCATGTGTAATTTGAAATCACGTGTCACATGTGTTTTTCGTTGAGCCAAATTTGTAGTTCACGTTTCAGGATCACTGATTCTTACTAAAATGCATATTTAATTAGGTAGTCATACCTTAAGTGGCCTGAGAATTCCAAGAAGAACTCGCCTTTTTAAGTTAACTTAGAAAAACCGCAAATTACGGCCCGAGAGTTTAGCATTCTTCTTCGTTAACCTTAGAATAGATTTTTCAGCAAAATCTGACGATGGTAGCCACTAGTAATTTATCATTATCAGAACGATCAACCTGGCGCTGTTATGTAAAATACTATCTTTTTCACTTTATCATTAATTGCAAATTAAAGGAATGATCATTCGCCGCATTAACACTTGCCTGTATTTTCTCTCTAAGATGTATTTGTACCCGACTCTTCTATACGTATAGGTAATAGCATGATTTGTAGTGATATTTGGCATAAATACCACGAGTGATGTTTCGAAATTGTTATACGTAATTTCACGAGCCGTTAGGCGAGTGAAATTTGAGACAATTTTGAAATATCACGAGTGGTATTTATGCCAAATATCATGTACAAATCATGCTATTATTTGTTTATACTACTACCCACAAAGGGTTTGTAATTTTCACATGTAGGTATTTCAAATTAAGCTGAAATACCACTGCTCTAAGCCAATCAAATTGCAGTAATTTCTCATGTAGTAGTATAACTGATGAAATACCAAACTTTGTTGGCCGCGACAAAGAATGTAAAGCAGTAGAAGACCATTTAACAGATGAAGTTACTAGACTGGTTAATGTCTGGGGTCCACCTGGATTTGGAAAAACATCAGTGGCCATCAGAGTAGCGCATCACTTACAAGAGAAGAATATTCCAGCTTACTTTGTATCCGTTCGTGGAATGGAAAGTAAGGAAGATTTAGTGTCAAAGCTGCTCAGTATGTTCGCAGACGATAAACAGGTCGGCCATATTTCATCGTCTCACTTCAGTATCCAATGTTTACAGCAAGTTCAGAATCCGTTTGTCTTGATATTCGACAACGCAGATGATTTACTGGAATCTGGAGATACCAAACGAAAAGAACACGTGCTCCAATTTATTGATGAGATCCTCACTCACTGCAAACAAATCAAGCTTCTCTTAACCACTCGCGAAAGTCTAGACTACCTAAAGCACAAGCTACCCATGTACTCAGAGAAAATTAATGTACTGGATAAAATTTCGTCAGAAGATCTAGTACGGCTGCTGCTACCAGATGCATCGGATGATGACTACAATTGCATTGTGAGGGAATGTGGTAACGTTCCTATGTCCATGCGACTGCTGTGCAGCATCATTAAGGAAGAAAGTATCTCCATTGACGTGCTTTTACAAGAACTGAATAATTCAACTCTGGTTGAAGTTTTGGACCATGAGTACCTTCCAGATGGTTTTCGGATAAAATCTGTAATTAACACATCTTTCAAAAGGCTCATGGTTCGCGAAAGAGACACATTTGTTTCGCTTTCTGTTTTTCCTGAACGGTTTGGAGTAGAGGAAGCTCAAGCCATATTGAATAAAAAATCAGAGGTTCAGACCAAACAAATAATTCGATCTTTAGAGCGAAAGTCCCTAATAGACTGTGGAGAAAATTTCAGCCATTTTACAGTCCATTCACTATTCCGGTCCTTCATTCAGGAAGAAACAAAAAATGATCAGGCAGTTGAAGCTGTGTTTCGGAATTCACAAATTCAATTCTACGACTATTACATTTCTCGCTGTAAAGTTGCTAATGAACATTTTCAGAAAGAACGTTACGGCGACGCCTTTAGAGATTTCCTTGATCGTCGAAGCAGCATTATTTCGTCCCTCTCAAGTGGACCACGAATAGACAGAATCTACAGCAAAGTTGTAGAGTTGTTGTCTGAAGTAAAATCATTTCTCAGTGTTGCATTGCATGAAGAACAAATGTTACTTGAGCGCCTTTATGAAACGGCGGTGGAAGAAGCAAAGAGGAGGGGAAATTTGGGTGATAAACAAATGTTGCGGTCTGCCAGAGAATGTCACACAGCGGAAAGCTTCTTCTGGCTTAGTAGAGTGCAGCGTGAAGGAGGAAACTTGAAAGAAGCAAAGAAATCTGCAAGATTAGGCTCACAAATAAGAAAGGAACTTCTAGGACATAATCCTAATAGAGCGGTTAGCTTTTATCATAGAGGAGTTGCCTATAAAGTTATGGGGGATAATGATACACTCGTTGAAGCATTCCAAAAGGCAAAAGACGTAGCAAACCTGCAACAACCCAGCTACTACAACGTTCCAACGACGGAGGTGTGCAGCAAAAAATACCATGAAGGATATATGGGCGGTTTACAATACGAAGCATACATGAGACTTCATTTGGACGGTGTTAACGAAGAAACAGCGAGCTGCTTCCTCCGGCTGGCTAGAAATCAGCGAGTAGCGGGGAACCTGACAGGAGCATTAGAGTCTTTAAAAGTGCATTTACAGCTAAGACAGCAACTTTCAGGAGGTCATTCCAATACAGCCGACCACTTTTATGAGCAAGGCACTATTCTTTTTGCCATGGGTGATTTTACGTCTGCTGTTGAGGCACTTCAGAAAGCAGCAGAACTGAATTTCAATCTGCGCAGAGATCACATAAACACGGCACTTAGTTACTTGAGCCTTGGTATTGCACAGAAGGAGATACAGGACCACGAGGGAGCTTTGGACTCTTTACGAAAAGCATTATGTATGCAATCACATCTACTTGGTGATCACGAACACACGGCGTACAACTACCACAAGCTTGGATTAGTGCAGCGAGACATGGGAGACCTTAAAGGAGCTTTGGACTCTTTACAAAAAGCAGCAAACATGAGAGCAAGGGTGCTTGGTGATCACAAGGACACAGCTTCCAGCTTTTTTGAGCTTGGTGTAGTGCAGAAGAAAGTGAAAGACCAGAAAAGCGCCTTGGAGTCTGTACAGGAAAGCTTGCGATTGAGGAACGTACTTTTAGGAGATTTCCCTAATACAGCCGACAGTTTGTATGAGCAAGGCATTCTCCATTGTATTATGGGTGATAGAAAGTCAGCTGTCGAGGCACTACAGAAAGCCGCAGATATAAATTTTAATTTCCGCAAGGATCACATAAACACGGCACGTAACTACCACAGCCTCGGTATTGCACAGGAATTGGTGGGGGACCACGAGGGAGCTTTGGGCTCTTTTCAAAAAGCAGCATGTATGCAATCATATCTGCTTGGCGATTACGAAGACACGGCGTCCAGCTACCACAACCTTGGTTTAGTACAGCGTGAAATGGAAGACCTTAAAAAAGCTTTGGACTCGTTACAAAAAGCAGCGAACATGAGATCAAAGTCGCTTGGTGATCACGAAGACACTGCCAGAAGCTACCATGAGCTTGGTGTTGTGCAACATGTAATGGGAGACTTGAAAGGAGCATTGAAATCTTTGCAAAAAGCATTAGACATGCGAACTAATCTGCTTGGTGATCACGCAGATACGATGAGCAGCTTAAATGAATTATGTGCCGTGCAGAAAAAATTGTCATCACGGCGTTCTTTATTTGGCAAAGTATTTAGGCGGAAAAATCGACACGAAAATAATGACAAGTTATAAAATAAACGGGAGGTATTAAGCGCAAAAATTTGGTAAATCATATCTATTAGCAGCTAAACAAATAACTGGCCAGTAAATGACTTGGGGCCCGTTTCTCGAAAATCCCGATAATTAACGGGCCCGTAAAGCTGTTGTTTACATGCAAGATAGAACTTTCAATAGTTTTGCATCTAACATGATAAAATTATCAGTTAATGAAACCAGAAGCATATAACCCCGTTCGGGGTTATCTGCTTGTGAGGAAAAATTTTGCTAGCCGGGACCCGCGCTCTTATTCTTTGTATTTCGATTTGAATGTTTGTTTTCGGGCCCGGAAAGTTATCGGGACTTTAGAGAGAAACGGGCCCCAGGAGCGCTGCAACGTTTATTCTTGTCACTGCGTTTTCTGAAACTTGCTGATTTTTAGATTAATATTATTATCCATTGGAGAGGTCGCAGAAACGAGTCGGCATAAAAAGCAGTATTGCAACGGTATTTTTAAATACTTGTTTTAGTAGTTTTTCAATTAGCCAGGTTTTACTGCTCTTTGTAACTGAGTGTAAATCGACATTGAAAACCCCTATTGGAAAATGTTAAAATAAACTTCTTGTATATCACACAAGAGATGCTAAAGGATAACTCAAATACTTAAGGCTATATTTGGCGTTAGTATTTACCAAATCAGTGAAAAGCAATTTTCGCGCGTTTTGATTGGCTCCCGTAACGCAGAATATCCTTGGCTATTGACTGGTTTGCGACCGGAGTCAAGATGGCGTCTGGTTTCGAGACATGTTCGAAAGACGAAATTTGAGTGAAAATGAAGAAGTCGTACAAACAAATACCAAGAAAGCGACGAACTTTGGATTGTCAGTGTTTACTGATAGGTAGAAAATTATTTTCATGCTGAATTTGCAACAAAATCGTAAAAATGCCCCTGACAAAATCCCCAAAATGTTGTAAATTGTGCTCAAAGCTCCTACTAAGTGACGTTTTTAATTTTAAAAAGTTACTTTTTTTTCATTTTTGTCCATCTAATTTGGTAAATACTAAAATAGCTATTCTCTCAGGGTCGCTGAACAGCGCTAGATGTATACCTTCTACGACTATTCACCTCCCCTTCGGGGGATAGTTGTACACTATTCACCCTAGATAAAGGCAATACAGTGGAGCCCGGCTAATAGAGTCCGTAATTAACCGGGTGTTTGTATAAGCGGACTCGCATATAAAAAACGTAATGGACGCAAGTTTTATGAAATGGAGACGAAATCAGACATTTTCACGAGAAAATTGTGTTCAGTTTCTCAGCTGTAACTGTAACAAGAAAGAAAGAAACCTGGCGATCTTTTATCGTAGTCTTGGATTATCATTACAATATATAGATTTAGCCCGGGCTACAAGGGAAGCTCACGTTATGTCTATAGTTCACTCAAACAAAATATAAAATCGTGAAATGCTGAGCGGCGGCGGCAACGAAAAGGGCCAAAACCATGGACGTCACCGAAACGTACGTGAACGCCCACGTGGCGTCTAGTATTTTAATAGTAAATGCTCGTTTTCTGTGTTCCTATTTCTCCACCTCACTCTATGCAATGTTGTTTGAAAATTAAAGCAAATCTAGTTTCCTTTATATGGGAGTCAACTGTCTACTTGAGGAACGTGAGACATTGATTGGAGATTTGGAACAGATATTAAATTACCATGTATAAAGTATACAGTATACTCACCTCACTTGTCCTCAGCGTTGTTACTGCTTTTAGAACACTTCATCCTACTGCATTCAAATCTTGTATCTTCTTCTTGGCTTCTGTTTTCCTACTCTTGCCACTTCTTCAGCCTTCAACTTTCTTCGTCCAGTCAGCAAAAACACTTTTCCAGTGCTCTTCTAATCAACAGTCACAATGTAACCATAGACAAGAATTGGTCATTGACTTTTGTAAGATTTTTGGTTTGTTTTTTGTTGTTGTTGTTGTTGTTGTTTTCTTTAATCTTTTCAAATGTGAAGTATTTTTTATTGTGAATCTGAAGTCATTTTTTTACTTTCAATATTTTTCTGCTTTTCTTTTCCACTGATATCTTTTTTAAGCATCACTTTCATTTTTTTTGCTTCCTCAGGCCTTCACAAAAATACAAAGAAGTATTCACTACAACTTAACTTATAGTACTATAATATTAATATAACAGACAGTAAAACCTAAACTAGGTCAAAGACAAGTATCTTTCAATAAAAAATCGAGATGGGTATCATCTCTTAGCCTTTGACTTTGGAGAGCGAAGACAGTGTGTTTTACAAGAAATGGACACAAGAAACCTTGCTCTTTCAAAGACGATTGGAATCCACTGAAGTTAACGCTTGATGTTACAATGTTACAGAAAGTTAAGCTCACTTTAGTTACAAGTCTGAAACAGTTAAATCATGACAATTATTTTACAATCCTTCGACGCAGTTTTGCCGTATCAACTTAAACAATAGTTGTAACTATCTTTTCCACGATCGTTCATCTTCTTCTTCATCCTCTTCATCAAAATCTTCTCCAAGAAGCAAAGCTTCGTCTGCATCCGCATCAAATTCATGTTTTCCCTAAAAAACAAACGGAAAATAAATTGTTCTGAAATAAACCGTTGTCTAACAGCAAAACAAAAGAATTCTGAAAGGCTCCCTAACAAGAAAGCCTTACTCTCTATTCATATTAGTAAAAGATGGGATATTGAGTGGGCATGCGCATTGATATGGTCTTTACAAATAGATAAATTTGACTCATGTCATAACGTTATGACCCAAGTCAAATTTAGAAGGATTTGCATGGAGTCATCAGAGCATAACTGGGCTAATACCTCAGAGACAATTTGCCCCACAATGCCAGTTTTTGGCAAGTAGGCCTCTTGCATGTTGTTCTTACAGGCTATCCTGACAAATCCCATAATTTCAAATTTTAATTTTTATAACGTTATCACTTAGGAACTCTTTTTACGACACCACAACACATACACAAAACGTTTATATTTCACAGAGTTCTTACCAGTTCAGCATCAATATCCAGTCCTAACTCTTCCTCTACTTTCTTGAGCACTGTAGGAGTCGTAGGTGTAGTTGGTATTGCTGTTGCAGGTGATGTAGGCGTCAATGGAGGTCGATACCAAGACACCTTCAAGGCTCTGCCTTTGAATGTCTTCCCTTTATTGAAGGCCTAAAAATAATAAAATTTTTGTATAAAGCCCTGATTTAAAAGCCAGTGACAGTATAAAACAATATCGATTAATAACCGCAAATCTTCAAAACTAAATTTTGGGATGTCGTAGGGTATGGTCGATAATGTTTCAAATCCTTTCAAGGATTTCCCAATCCAACTGGACTACAAGTAATCTCTCTTTCTTAATCTGTCCAGTAAAAAGGGGAGATAAAAAATGGCCTTGTGTGGGACTGAATGTTAGGAGAGGGGAGTAGCTGCTCACCACTCACACATTACAACTCAACTATTAAAGTTAACTGTTTGGGGGCGAATTAGAGACCACTCACAGTCTACAACTCTACAAAAAAAAAATCAAAACATGGATTTCTCAATGCAAAGTACCCCACTGCAGTACTATCATCCAAAGATCTCTATAAGTTAATGCAATACAAAGTAAACCCATACAAAGGAGGTAGGGAGGAATTGGCTTGGACATAAGACAGATAGATACTAGAAATACACATTGACCAAATGGATAATGCCCATTATTCTTACAATTTCGGCTTCTTTTCTTGTCCTAAAAGTCAAGTTGAGAGTTTCCTTATCATCAATATATTCTTCATTGTCAACAATACCGAATTCCTACAGGAAGAAAACAAAAAGGCAGCTATTAATGTACAAACAGTGATGCCCAACGCTCTATTGTAACATTCTTCTTGCATTTCATCGCAACTATAAACCAGGACACCGTACATCCAACTATGGCCAGCATGGTTCCGTGTCTAACTTAGCCTAAATTACATTCAGCCACATGTAAATTATCCATCTTTCTTTATTCTAATAAATCACACTTTCACTGGCTGCAGCTTTATAAATTCTCAGTCTTAATACATAAAAGAATTAGGACAGGAAGAAATCAAATCTAACAAATTCAAATGTAAATCAAAGGCCACAGATGAGTTTGATTCTCCAAAAAAGACCAACCAAGGAAATCACTACTTTGACAGCAACCGCAAAACGATTGTGAACTTAAGCATTGTATTTCCTGAAAACTTCTTGTTTGTGAGAGAAGCTATACATTTTTGTATTAAATTCCGCTCTGTGTTTCATCCAATATCCAGAGTCTTCAAAGTGGGTATTTCAAAACTTGGCTGTGCCTCATTTTCAAAACACTTCTTGGGGCCTGAACATCACATGAAACACTTTATAGTGTTTTGTGTTTGACATTATTACTTCAACAGTCAGCAACCTTAAAGGATCAAGTCGTGAAAGTAAATTAAAGGCCATCTTTTGGACAAGTTTGTGAGATGGGCCCTTCTTGCCCCAGACACAACTATTCTCCTGAGCAACATAGATTCACTTCAGCTTTGAAAAGTAGCCATAAAAAAATCATAGTACTTACTTTAAAGTGCTCTGTAATATCTTCCTTCTGTTCAGTTGTTATTTCTCCAACACTGATCCGCCTTGGTCGATGGTCCAATGAAGCACTGTCTCTTGTCCACACCCGTGTTGTTCTTGGAAGTGGTCTGCTTCTCACTGGTGTTCCTCTGCCACGTCCTCTTACAACTCCTCTTCCTCGTCCCTTTGTGGGTGGATCCAGCAAGCCAAGAGATTTTGCCTAAAAACAGTACATGGTCAGTAACTAAAATACTCCTCACAAATCAATGAAACAGACACTGCTTCTCTTGAATTTTCTCTAAAATTTCTTATTCACTCTTCGCACTTTTGTTCTCACTCAAATGTGCCCCTCCCCTTCCCCAATGTTGAGCCACGCATATTTTG